CAATTCATATCCTTAAGTTTTGAAATTATGTTCTAGCTTTGGTTTATGTGCAATCTATGTGTAGGTGATTATCTATTTATGTGACTTGAAGAGATTGTAGCATGTCCTAATTCTTGTTATTAAAGGTTAATGAATCAACGGTATATGATATGATGAAACCTATTTGAGTTAAACTATGTGATGCATTTTATTGATTGGTGATGCCATACATTACAAATTGTTTATGTGAATCTTATGTGCATATTAGGACTAAGCATGATTAATATGCATACAGAGGTACCATGCGGCAAAATGTTTTTGCGAGGGCAAGAGAATTTTAAAAGGTATTTTCTAAATCGGATTTTATTTCAGAAAATTTGGAAGTCTCATTGAGACTCGATTTTGGAATTTTAAAAGGTATTTCTAAATCGGATTTTATTTCAGAAAATTTGGAAGTCTCATTGAGACTCGATTTCGATTTTCCTCGAGTAATGATACTCATGCTAAAGCTCTTTTCAAAATATTTTTTTAAGAAATTTTTTTACGAAATGCATGTTTCAGATTTTAGTCATGAAATGTTTGAATAAAACAGACTCTTGCCAAGAGTTGAGGAACTATTTTTCAAATTATTTGGTAATCTTGATCAAAATGTTATTTACCCGATCTTGGGTAGAAATGGAATTTTTGTCATAACTTGATATCATCATCTTCTATGAAGAATATTTCAAATTTTGAGGACAAAATTATTTTAAGGGGGGAAGATTTGTAACGCCCCGCATTTTCATAATCATATTATATGAAATTATATTGAGTAAATTGATAATTTCCATCTCATGAATTAATTAGTAACTTTTATGTACCCTAAATGATTACATGAATTATACACACTGTGTTGTTTTATGTTATTATGTTGTTTTATGTTATGTGTATATTAGAACAATGTGCGAGCGACTTGATTCGGTAAGATGATCAAGTAATTTTGTTTATGTGATTAAATGAATTATGTGATTTAAATGAACAATTAGTCTATGCTAATATTGATATTAAATTTAGATTATATTGATTTGTGTCCCATGTACATGCTTAATTAGAATTTAAATGATCTTATAAGAATTCTGATATGATAATTAATCTATGCAATGTATCTTTAATTGTTTTACGATTTGTGGTTTAATGAATGTAGATGCATATATGAATGTTGTGTGTATATATATGCTACGTGAGTTATGATGTGGTAATTAATCTAGGCAATTTATCTCTAATTGTTTTATGATTTAATGAGTATAGATATATCTATGAGAGTTGTGTATATATGTATCATGTGTGTGCCTTATGTGTGTGGTGTATACATGTGCCGTGTATTATTAGGCCCCGTTTGGTTGGAGGGATGGGGTGGGATGGGATTGGGGATTCATATTGAAATTACACTGTATGGATTAGTAAAATATGGATGGTATCTCGGGTTTGGTTGGTTGGATACAGATATGTGGGATTGAATCCGAATGAGTCAAACTCAAGAATGGTTGGGAGGATTGGATAGGATAATTTGGCTAATTACTATACCACCCCTTGCAAGCTTTTTTATTATTATATTATACACCTGTCAATTTATTAAAATATTGCTTGATGCACCCATTCTTTCCTTCCATTTTCCTGTAATTATAAAATCAGCCCTAATATTTTCGAATAATTACATTTTCACCCCTGATAAGCCCTTTTATTATTATATTATACACATGTCAATTTTTAAAATATTGCTTGTTGCATCCATTCTTTCCTTCTATTTTCCTTTAATTATAAAATCAGCCCTAACATTTTCGGATAATTACATTTCCATCCCTTGCAAGCCCTTTTTTATTATTATATTATACCCCAGTCAATTTTTAAAATATTGCTTGCACCACCCATTCTTTCCTCCCATTTTCCATTAATTATAAAATCAACCCTAACATTTTCGGATAATTACATTACCACCCCTTGCAAACCCTTTTTATTATTATATTATACATCTGACAATATTTAAAATATTGCTTGGGCCACCCATTATTTCCTCCCATTTTCCTTTAATTATAAAATCAGCCCTAACATTTTCGGATAATTACATTACCACCCCTTGCAAGCCCTTTTTATTATTATATTATACACCTGACAATATTTAAAATATTGCTTGCACCACACATTGTTTCCACCCATTTTCCTTTAATTATAAAATCAGCCCTAACATTTTCGGATAATTACATTACCACCCCTTGCAAGCCCTTTTTATTATTATATTATACACCTGACAATATTTAAAATATTGCTTACACCACACATTGTTTCCACCCATTTTCCTTTAATTATAAAATCAGCCCTAACATTTTCGGATAATTACATTGCCACCCCTTGCAAGCCCTTTTTATTATTACACCTGTTACTTTGTAAAATATTGGTTGCACCACCCGTCTTTCCTCCCATTTTCCTGATTATAAAATCAGCCCTAACATTTTTGGATAATTATATTTCCACCCCTTGCAAGCTTTTTATTATTATATAATACACCCAAGCTATGATGAATTTGCTTTACTTCCAAAATAAACTTTTGTAGTTATTTATATTATGGGGTGACTTCATTCTTGCTTTTTTCTAGTGTAATGTAATTTATAATTTGTGTATTATTGGAAAAATGAACATTAATATAATAGTTAGATGTCATTATCTATATCTTTCTAGTTTCTACAAAATATGAATCTAATAAAATGGAGCAGTAGCTCCAAAATAACAGATTTTTTTGGAAGCCATATTAGACATTTTAGCTCCAAACTAACAGAAACTTCACGAAATACTTGTAGAAAATTTACGAAATATAATCTGCCATATTACAGAAAATTTATATTTGTGACACAAGTGGACTACTATAAGATCCACCAAAAAATATAATAAAAGAAGAAATAAAATGTCTTCAATTCAAATAACGCCGCAAGATGGGGTCCGACTACGGAAAATTTCTTCGTCGCCTTGTCAGTGGATGGTAGTCTACCTATCCGAAGTAACGACCTGTCGAGGTCAGTTGGGCTATTGCAAACGGTTTTAGCGACGGTGATCTTATCATCGACACCTAAGAATAACGGCGATAGGGCATCCAACACCTTCTTACGTGTAGTGGACACATCGTGCTCTAAACCGATACGGTGGGCCACATGGTGGTCAAAACCTTCTACATATATCAGTATATAACAGTATATAACAATATATAACAATATTTACTGTAAAAAACAATATATAATAGAACAATGACCAATAAACCTGCAAAATTATCAATCGATTGGATCTATTTTCAGTCATTTCCTGTTCGAATTCAATGATTGTAAATCCTACAACATTTTCTCAAGCATAAAATTCGATCATTACTCCAAAAACTTCAGCTTTTATTAACATTGGATTCAACAAATGTATGATCTACTACTTTTCCGAAATAAAAATTTCATATTTATTCCAAAAAAACTGCACCTTTTCCAAACCTTGCATTCAAACAAAAAAAAATACAAAAGGGGGCAACTAAATTTCAATTGAAGTCTGGACAAAACCAAAGGTTTTTTTTTTTTTTTTTTTTTTTTTTTTCCAGAAAATGGTTATTTTCCAACTAAGCACGAGGGTACTGTACTACTTTTTTCAAAAGGGGTACTGTACTACTTTTTCCCAAATATAAATTGGTTATCTTTTCCAAGAAATGCTACATTTTCCAAACCTTAAGCATGTATTGTGATTCGTGAATACCAAAACAAAAAAAAAGAGAGATTTTGTATCGTAAAAATCAATTCTTGATAAGTTTTTCTTGACGTAGATTTTTTTTTTCTTTTGCATTGTAACAAAGAAGAGAGAGAGTGAGAGAAATAGGAGATACAAAGAGAGACTAGAGAGAGTGGAGAGAGAGAAGAAAAAAATGCAAGGCGTTCTAGAGTCAAAAGGGCTCCTCTCACTACCATCAAACCCCAGAACCAGAGCTTCGTTCCTACCTCCGCCATTACAGGGTTTAAGGTACAGCTTCAACCATTTAATAAACCCCATACTAAAATTATTTAAGCAGTAAATTTATACTTTATTAGTAAATGTGTCTGTCGAAACATGAAATTAAGCAGATAATCGGTTTACTCGAACACCCTACTCGAACACCTGATGGCGTAAAATAGTCCGATAATCACAAATTACAACCACTTACAACCAACAGTAACACACAATAATTACAGTCAACAAATAAATGATTAATAACCATTCCATGACTGATTATAACTCCATTTGAAAGTCCCAATTTTTATGTGAAAGAAAAATAATTTATTTTGCACAAACATACCCACAAAGAATTTGAAAGGTCATAGAACTAACCCGTTTGAGATGTACGCTTCCACCACCGACGACTTGCCGATGCTACAATCGTCCACCGCTGACTGTAAGGCAAAGCTCTCTGAAGCGAAACTGACGGAGAGCTCCAAAACAAGGCGCCTGCCGCTGCTACAATCGGCCACCGCCGCTGCTACAATCGGCCGCCGCCGCCGCCGCCTCCTTTAAACTGGTTCAACAAATTTATAATTCAGAACCAAAAAAAATGAAGGGAAATAAAACAAAACTCAAACATTAAGCATGATTATGGAAGAAAAAACAGAATCGATTGGGCAAGAAACCAATTTGCGTAGAGAGTTGATAGTCGGGTTGCTAGGGCTTGTGAGATATGAGATTGGGGGGAAAATGTATTATATATACAGTACTTTTGTAATAACGAAAGAAAAATGAGGGCATAAACGTATAAACACATGTGGGGTAGGAGTGAGAAAAGGATGGGATTACAGATCTCACCTCTCCTGGCCGGATCTTATATCCGTTGATTGGCGGATCGCGACCCGGGCCCAAGATCTATCCGGGTTCAACATAAAGTGAACCAAAGAGGAGAACCGGGTGGATTACAAGATCTATCCGGCCAAATCCAGCGAACCAAAAGGGGCCTTAAGGGATTAATGAAATCCTTGACTTGCAAATATTTGATTAATTGCTATTTGGACCCCCATGGTTTTAGATATTGCATTATAGCCCCTATGAAATTTCCTATACTTTTCTCCATCATTTCCTGCAAATTCCAACCCGAAGAAAATGAAGGGTCTCCTCCTTTCCTCCTCCCCAAGTCTATTTTAATTGCTATTAGCACCCCATTGTTCTAAATATTGCATAATGGCCCTTGGGAAATTTCCTCCTAATTTCCTAGCCTAAGCAAGGAAGACTCCTCTTCTTTTCCTCTCAACTCCCCTAAGACAGCCCTTTCTTCCTCTTGGAGAAGAAGTTAGCTTTTATTGATTCAATACTCGATTACAGAAACATTTTCTCGTCACTTTCTTCATCTCATCCCACGGCAGTCTCATCCCATAGACTCGACGAAAGCTCATCAAAATTTCCCCTTCTTCTCTTGGAAACTTGACATCTAATTAATGGGATTAATTTCCCTATAAAATCCCCCAAACTATCAAGAGGATGGGACACTGGAGAGCCTCCAAGTTCAGCCCCAAAAGTCTTCAAGCCAAAAGTTCCAAGAATCCTTCGGTTTACTCTTTCCCTTTGTCTTCGATTTTTCTTCAAAGGGGTAAGGACTTTGGTCTTTACTGAATTGATGATAAATAAAAAGATATGTTTATGTGTTTAATTGATTCATATGTTTAGGAATCGGATTTAGGGATTTAGGTCAGGAAATATAGATTTCAATGAACCCTAATTCGATTTCCAGATTCGTAGCCTCAGATTCCAGTGCATGTTTCATCGATGATTTATTTTCTGAAAATTATGAAATTAATTATGCGTGTAGATGTTTCTGTTAGCTTCGTTTTGACATATGGTTTGCGTAATTTGGAATTATATTGATCATGTTATGAACCGTTTTCTGAAACTGCACGATTTCTGAGTCATCTATGAATTATGTGTTAAATTAGATTTTATCTTGTTCCGATTCATGCGATTCCAACTGGATATGATTATCGACTTATAAATCTGAGTCTTCGTGAAATTTCATGGTGTTTCGTTGATAGAATGATTTATTTGGTATCTTTAAAGTTGAATGCTCTGTTCTGAAATTCTGCTGATGTTGCTGTACTAAATGAATTATTCCTCTCCCACAGATGGGTATTTTTCTGAACTGTTTTAATATGGTATAAATCACATATATGTGAACGTTGTGTTAAAATTTCATAATGTTTGTATGTACGGTTTAAGATATATGAATTTCCAAAGTTGAAGTACCGAATCTGCCAAATATTATGTGGATTCGGATTTCATATATTATGTGCGCATGTGCTATTATGATTATCGTATGCTTATATGTTCACATAAATGTATAGCTTAGGAAACGCATGAATGATGCATTTAAGATAATCACTTTGGTATGTTATAACTATGAAAGTGGTTCTATGAAATAATATGATAATCCCCTTCTCTTGTATGTGATACCTCTGGTATGTGGTACGTGTACGTTGCATAATATATGAGAATTACAAGCATGTTTATTTATGTGTTTTGAATTAATTTTGTGAGTCATTTGAATAAGAAGTTCTAAGGAAGAAAATGGTTTGAATAGGTTTGTTAGCTATGTGGTTAGGCGTTTATGTGTTTATTATGCTAAGCGCAAGTCCGATCTAACATGGTTATATTATTGGAGTTGAATGATTTGTCATTTATGGTATTGCATGGTCAAGTATAGGGACGTCAGAATCTTAATATGGTTATCGGTCGAGTAGACACGGGAATACGAGGGGCCAGTATTCCAACTACGGTACTATAGACTAGAGTGGGTAGCTCCCCTCAAAACAGGCTCAGAATATCGACGTCTATTACCGATAACCATGTTATGAATCTGATAGGGATACCGTCACATTATAGTATTTGTGTTGACATAAAGTACGAGAATGTTTATTAATGTGTTTTGAATTGTTTATATGATTTGTCATTTATAATATTTGCATGGTCAGTATAGGAAGTCAGAATCTTAAATGGCTATCGGTCGAGTAGACACGGAAATACGGAGGGGCCGGTATTCCAACTACGGTACTATAGACTATAGAGTGGATAGCTTCCATTAACAAACGGGCTCAGAATATCGACGTCTATTACCGATAACCATGTTATGAATCTGATAGGTATCCCGTCATATTGCATTTATGTGTTATAATTGTTAATACAGACTATAGGGACTTGATGTCTATATGTACTACAGCTCAGTGGTCGTTGCATCCCCATGTTAATACACCATTTTGTTTACGTGAGTAAACCTTGTGAGTATACGTTAAGCAGGGGAAGCTCTTCGCCCATGTCAAGGTTGAGTTTCTCGAACCAGTTATGGAAATTGGTGGAGCGGAGTTCGAGGAATCACGAGCTTTTATATCAACCGACTATTTTCAAAGATTTTATTAGTCACTTTCTTTTTAAGTGTTTTAACTTGAGAAGTTTATAGTTGTAATTATAACGTACTCTATTTAGGAATCTAGTCTATTAAACCGGGGTGTATGTAAAATAAAGTTATTTTGTGTTCCGTTGTATTCCAAGTATTGCTTTAAAACCCCGTCTATGTTGAAGTAGCACTCTTTATGAAAATTATATCTTTCAAATGTGGGTTATGTTTTGAAGAAAGAAAAATGCTTTGACGATTTCAAAACTTATTTTCTAAAGGATCAAATAGGATCCGAAGGTTTTAATAAAGTCCATTTTTCTAAAAACTATTCTTAATTATATAAGCGACATGGAGGGTGTTACAGGACGGCCGTCCGGATTTAAGAAGGAATTCTCGCACGGCCGTCCGGGTTGACGAGGTGGCGCAGTGAAGGAAGTTTAATTACACAAGGAAACCCGACCTATTATATTTTTGCAACTTATTTAAAGGCCAAAAGCACACAATTAGAAAAATCTATCTTTAATCTTTTATTTTTATCTTTCATCTTTCTACACGCGATCAAGAAGCACAAGAACGAAGACGAAGACTTGACGAATCTTCATTATAGTTCTCCTCTGTTATTTTTATTCATAGCTTTTATGTTTTTTCGTATTTTTATTATGTTTTCCGTAGAGAACATGAGTAGCTAAGTTTTTATTCTAGGATTTTGTTGGAACCCTATGTGGTAATTCGAACCTCTTTTTCTACTTTTATGCAAGTTTAATTCTTCGATTATTTCTTCTATTTTGATCTTATTTAGCGCATGAACGTAGCTAATTTATGTTGCTATGTGCTATTGTTAGAATTGATTGACAGATCGTTTTAATAATTAAAACAGGTATAGAAGAGCCTTCGAGTAGCTTTCACCGAATGCGTGTGCTGATTGCATGTATTATCGTAGACATACAGATAATACCTTAGGTAGCCGTTTTCGAGACTTGTTATTTAATGATTTATTCATACTAGGTTTGCATAGACATATAGTGAATCTTTTATGAATAATAGACTTATAATACAGCGACAGCTGGTTATGAGAATTTCGTGTCGTGGGTTAATAATCGGGAATCGTAACTTGCATGATAGGAGATTAATTGGGTGAAGAATTATCGTATAGGGGGAAGATAAAATCCTAGATCCGTTTTATATTGATATTTTCTCGTGTTTAATTGCTTTCTTAATTAGTTTATTTTATTTAGTTAATTAAATTGACAACCCTGCGTAGGCTGGATAAAAATCATAATTGTTAGGATTTGGTACTTAGAATTAGGTAATTTGCGTATTCCATGTGGGATCGACATCCGACTCTCACGAGTCTACTTTACTGCTTGTTTGCGAGTGTTTAGCACCCAACAAGTTTTTGGCGCCGTTGCCGGGGAATACGGCTAAATTATTTATTTATCGTAATATTAAATTTGAGCAATTTTTCTTACTTCAGCCATTTTTTTTATTTTTTTAATTATTTTATTATTTTGTTCTAGGTACTTTTTATGCGAAGAGAACACGACACGAACTTGCTACCACTCGACCCCGAAATTGAGCGAACGTTTAGGCAAGCCAGGAGAAATCAACGGTTAGCTCAAAACGCTCCTGCAACAATGGAAAAGAGATTAACAGTGGGGAAGGTGACCAAAGTCACCCACCGAATGCGGCGAGAGAAATCGTCAACGAGCAAAACCAACGCCAGCTAATTAATCATCCACCTCGTCAACGAGCCTTGCATGAGTTTCCGACACTCAATGAGTTTCAATCAAGCATCCAGCAGCCCCCCATTGAAGCCAACAATTTCGAAATTCGAGCGGGACTCCTCACTATGCTCCAGAACAATGGGTTATTCAGCGGATTGGCTCACGAAGATCCACATCTCCACTTGGTCAACTTTCTCGAAACGTGTGATTCGCACAAGATGAACGGAGTAACACCTGAAGCACTGCAACTCCGCCTGTTCAAGCACTCCCTACAAGGAGCAGCCCGAGAATGGTTACAAACTCGCGCACCGCACTCCATCTCGTCTTGGGCCAGCTAGCACAACTTTTCATGAACACATACAACTCCCCAACAAAAACTGAAAGAATTCGGAGAGAAATTCAAAATTTCATACAAGAAGCCGGTGAAGCATTATTCGAGACGTGGGAGCGATTCAAACAGTTAGTAAGGAGGTGCCCGAATCACGGACTTCAAGAGTGACGCCAACTGCAAATATTTTACGATGGATTGCAAGACAACTCGAGAACCGTGCTCGACTCTGCAGCTGGAGGTATGTTCATGAGTTTGACCTATGACGAAGCATGCGAACTCTTGGAGCGAATTGCTAGAAATAAATACATGCGGGCATCGGACCGGTCGAATAGCGGAGCAGTCAAGACGGGAGGAATTTTGGAGTTAGACGGGGTCACTGCAATCACGGCCCAGTTAGAGAAGCTATCAAAGCAAGTAGCGGCTTTGCAGACTCAGCAAGTCGATGCAGTCCAAGTTCCCGACCAGCGCGTAGAAGAAACGGAGTCTCTGAATTATGTGCATGACACCAACCGACAACAGAGGAACCCGTACTCCAACACATATAATCCGGGATGGAAGGATCACCCTAACTTTGGGTGGGGAGGAAATCAGCAAGAGCAAAGGCAAGCACCACCTCAAGGTCAACCGCCTAATTATTCACGACCAGCTCCCGGATTCCAAAATTCGCCTCAAGCTCAACCTCAAGGAGGAGATCTCGCAAATATCTTGGCGCAATTTATGACAACCACCCAAGCATCCATCCGAAATTTGGAAACACAGATGGGTCAACTTGCAACCCAACTAACCGCGAGGCCATCGAGAGCACTGCCGTCGAATACTTAAGATCCTCGGAAGAACAACGTCGAGCAGTGCAACGCTGTGAGTTTAAGGAATGGGATACAATTGGAGGAAGCTCCACGGAAAGAGAAGCAAAACACGGTGAGTGAGAAGCCGAGCGTGATTGGGGAAAAAGAAGCAACTCACGAAGAACCACTATCATCCACAGTGAAATCACGAGCCCCTCCAATTCCATATCCTCAGAAGCTTATAAAGAAGAAGCTCGATGCCGATTATCAAAGATTTTTGGACAAGCTGAAGGAAATCCAAATAAATATCCCGTTTATTGAAGCCCTTCAAAAGATGCCAAAGTGGGTGAAGTTCCTCAAGGATCTCGTGACAAAGAGAAAGAAATTGCAAGGGAACGAGATGATTCAACTCACGGAACAATGTAGTGCAATTCTTACACGTCCCCTTCCACAAAAACTCGGCGATCCAGGTAAGTTCACTATCCCTTGTACTATAGGAGGTAAAAATTTTAGATCGCTTATTGATTTAGGTGCTAGCATTAATCTTATGCCTTATTCCACGTATAAAAATCTTGGGTTAGGTGAGATTGAACCTACGGCTATAACTCTTCAATTAGCCGATAGGTCTTTGGTTTACCCAAAAGGTATTTTAGAGAATGTGCTAGTAAAAGTGAACAAATTTATCTTCCCGGTTGATTTTGTTGTACTCGATATAAATGAAGATAGGGAGATACCTCTTATTTTAGGGAGACCGTTTTTAACCACTTCAAAAACTCTAATTGATTGTGTTTACAATGGCAGTGCATGATGAAACGATCAAATTTAATGTTTTTTGTGCTAATAAAAATCCATGTGATAATAATGAGTGTTTTACTATTGATCTTATGGATTTTACAAATCATGAAAAATTTGATGTTTCAATTTTGGACCATGGGAAAGCATCGTTGAGTGCAGGAGATGACGACGGAAAAGGGAATCGGAAGGAGCACATTTATTATGCGAACTCAATTTCAACTCCTCCGAGAGATAGTCAAAAGAGTTGGGTGCTAACGGTGATGAACGTGCAAGGAGGATATGGCCACCTAAAGAATCAAACAAGCATCTTCGGGGAGAGGAATTCAACTGCCAAGTGACTTCGGTCACGTTAGCTTGAACAAAGAAGCAGACAAAGTACGGCTGAAGACTGTAAACTTAGCGCTTCTCGGGAGGCAACCCGAGCTTTCGTTTTTCTTATTTTAAATTTTTTGTTTTGTTTATTTTTCTAAAAAAAAAACTTTAGGGGCACTAATAAGAAGTTTTTATTTTTCAGGGACCTAATTGCAATTATTCACGCGGCCGTGCAAGAAAGAGGCAGGAATCTCACACGGCCGTGTGAGATTTCGGGGAAGCTACTGCCTAAAATCGCATAATGGCGCAGCCGTGCGGATTTCTTAACTAAATCTCGCACGGCCGTCCGAAAGTTGAATCAGCTACTACCCAAAACCGATAATTGGCGCGGCCGTGCGGATTTCAGGCATAAATCTCGCATGGCCGTCCGAATAAAAAAATCGGGCATATTAAATAGGGGTTTTCCAAACCACAATTCTCACAACTCTAATTCCTCTCTTAATTCGAACCCGAACCCCCTCTTTTCAAAATTTTCGATTTTCTTTGAACAAATTCGCCTAAATTCCACCAAATACACACACATAACACTCAAACATTGTTGGTGATTTGTGCAGGGAGGCTTCAAGAAAGGTGCAAATTTCTCCACAAACCCACTCCACCAAGAACGCCCACAAGGTGTTCGACGAATTGCCCAAGTCAAGTTTGGGGGGAAATTTGCACCTCAATTCACTTCTAATCCCCTCCACACGCATTCTCAAGTCATGGGGAAACGAGGACGTGACGGGGAGGGCACCTCACAAGGCGAAGGCACTTCTAAAGGCAAGGAGAAGGGCAAGAAAACCGATCAAATTCCAACACCGGACGACGATGCTTTTTGTGTCGAAGGCGCCAGCGCTCGTTTTGAGAAGCAAAAAGTGAAAAAACTTGTTACGGAGCGTGCCTATGAGATCACCCTTCCACAATTTGCGCCGTTGCACCAAGAATTCCTACGACGAGGGTGGCAAGCATTATTGGAACCGGAGGGGTCGATCAATTTATCGTTGGTCCGCGAGTTCTACGCCAACACCCGTATCCTCCTAACAACGGATCGGAAATCGAGTACGGTTCGAGGAAAGCGGGTCGATTGGTGTGCCCAAGCAATCAACTCCTTCTATCACCTCCGACATGCGTCATTCAATTGGGAGCAAATGCAACTTGCGGTCACAAGAGATCAACTCACCGAGGTGTTGTGCGATGGACCCCCAATTTGATCTCTTGTGACCGCAAGTTGCATTTGCTCCCAATTGAATGGCGCATGTCGGAGGTGATAGAAGTGGGGAATC